AGGAGGATTTGGAGACTGCAGTGCATTGCTCCAGAAGGCATCGTGTGTGGGCACGGTGCAATCTGTCTAATAACTCGTTCTACCTGTTGTGCTCATTTGTGTACTTGGTCATGGAGATCAATGTTTATTTCAGAGCTGGACTTCTACCTTTGAACTTGCTTGAAGTGTAGCTGGCACCAGGTGATACTGATGAAGCATCCTTTGTCCTAGGCCCATAGTAAATCCCCAAGCCAGCCGAGGAGGACGACCCTTGGCTAAAAAGACCCTTGGCCACCTGTCAGACAGGCTTAGGACATCAGTGTCTCCCAAGTTCTGCTGATCTTGGGTTCTGTGCTTTCAGCTTACAGCTGGCCTGCACTCTTAGTTAATTTGTTAACTAATGTTTTCCCTGTGGAAGAGGCAGATTTTTCCAGTTGTCATCTGTTTATTGTTGAATGTGCATTGTTATCTTTAAAACATTCAATTTACTTACATTAGATCTTAAATTATACACGTGAAGATGCTGCTATTTTATATGAAGACAAGGTTGTTGTGTCTTCAAAAACCAAGCAATATTGATCCTGTCAGACCACGTTGGCAGCTGTCTTGACCCCTGGGTCATTGAGTCTGCAGTGTATGAGTATCTGGGTATAGCCAGTGACATGAACGGTTTCATTTAGAACAGCCTACTGGGAAGTTGTGACCCACACACCAGCATGCGGAAGTCAGGAGTCGCCACGTGTTAACTCCGATGCTGAAGAGGCACGGCGTAATGAATGCTGTGTTCTAATGTTGCATCTCACGGCATCCAGCACCCACCCCTCTGGACTAAATCCAGCTGGCAGCTGGAGCCCTGACACTCATCAATGCCTCGTGTAGGCTTGTGCCGTGACAAGGATTCTGCCCCACTGTTGTTCTCTGTCTTTATTGTGTTATGAGAGATTCCTGTGTAGGATTCCTAGAGTTATTCTTGAAAATAGAACCACAGAGTGCTGGATGGTGAAATTTCAAAAAGAATCAGCAGGCAAAAGACCCTGAAACTAAATTCTGAAAGTGAGGCTCAGGGAGACGTGCTAATGTGAAAGCCGCAGGCAGAACACGGCTGCCGTGGTGGGGCTTGGCCCTAGGCAGCAGCTGGGGTCCAGCCCAGGGCTGGCCTCTGCGTCTGAGCTGTCATTAGGACACATAATCTGCTGGTGTGGTGCGTCATGACGAGGGACTTTACTAAACCCTTTTTGGAAACTGGTATTTTCAAAGAAAGCATTACATGCAAAAGCCAAAATGTCATTTAAATTTTTTTTAATGGGGAAGAGGGAGTCATTTTGTTGAGAAATGACTAAAGACTGTTTGGCATTAGGGATATTGCATATTGATTAGATGGTACCAGGAAATCCTGGGTAGACTGTTAAGTGAAGGCTATAAACCCCATCACTTTTCTGGGCAGTGTTGAGAGCCACAAAGGCGCACCCTGGGAGGGAGCCTTGGGCAATGGAGGTCCTGAGGGTCAGTGGGAACTGCGTCTCCAGAGTCCTGCCTTGGAAACTGACTGATTTGGGTAATACCAGCCACTTTGCATTCTTCCAGTTGGTGGACTTAGGAAAACCAAAACAAAGCGAGAACCCTTGTGGCCACTGGTGAGCTACTGAACACAGCTTGTTACCGTTCATGGAACCCTCAGACATTAGCACAGAAGCTTGCGTGGATTTTGACTCATTCGTGAGCTGAAATGAAGACATTCCCCTAAAGCTCGGTTTTTTAAACAAAACAGACATTCGGTGTTTCCAGACGTGGTATGAAGGAGCTTTGTTCAGGAGGACTGTTATAATGATGTGCAGCTAAGAGAGAAGGCAGAGAATGGATCCACCCAGTTGGAACGTCTTAAGGTGGTGGAGACAGAAGACTTAACGAGGCGGTGTGAAAAGCTCTTGAACAGCCAACACAGTGTAGAACACCCATTGTAATTTATAAGGCTGCATGATTGAGAGAGCAAATGTAAGAAATGGGAGGAAAGTTAAAAACAACAGGAAAGCACACAGAAGCGGCCACAGAGTAACCGAGAGGCTTTACCTGCAGAATTATCACAGCCAGGAAGCCAATAATCAGTCTTTCATAATGAGGATATGTAATTTAGGTGGCTTAACAGGGAATTAAAGAAAAAACACTAATCTTGTTGACATTGAAAAATTGAAGCATTATCACAATCCATGTAGGGCAACTCCTACAACCCTGACATGTTTACTTTCTATGTGGACACAATTTACATTTTAGTCTTTTTATAATTTTCTTAAAACTACAATTGTATCTTTTCCGTATAAACACTTGGTGCAAAATAATTCAAAGCTTCTACAAACCAAAGAATGTAAAACTATCATGGTGCTCGATCTCAAAGCCGTAAATCATGTGGTGTGTTCGGGGTGGAATCAATTCTGTTTCCCATCAATTTCCCGCTCCTTCGAGGTTCTGCCACCTAATTCATCCTCGGGATTTTCAGAAGAGTCCAAACCTTGGCTCTAAAATTACTTGAGTCACAGACTCCCTGGAGAACTTGAGGAGAGGCCCTCATCATTTTGCTCAGAAATCCCGTCCAGCCAGGCATGCATAGAACTGGGGCAGTTTCAGGATATTCCTGGATCTCCTGGAGCTTGAGGTCCAAACCTTTTGTCTGTATTTTCTTACTTAGATACCTGCATACCTCGATCCAGATTGTGGAATTAGAGAAACACTGAAATGTGTTTATAAAGGCTTTGAAGTATAAGAAAAACGCTTGTTTTGGACAATGAATTTTTATTTTTATTTATTTATTGTATTCTATTCTATTTTTTGAGACAGAGTCCCGCTCTGTCACCCAGGCTGGAGTGCAGTGGTACAATCACAGCTCACCACTGCCTTGACCTCCTGGGCTCAAGTGATCCTCCTGAGTAGCTGGGACTTCAGTTGTGTATCTCCTCACCCAGCTAATTTTTGTAATTTTTGTGTGGGAGACAGGGTTTTGCCATGTTGCCCAGGCTGATCTCAAGCTTCTAAGCTTAAAAGTCCTCCTCCTAGGATTATTCCTCCTGCCTCAGCCTGGAATTACAGTGCTGGGATTACAGGCATGAGCCACCACACCCAGCCTAGCCAATGAATTTTTTGAATGTTGAATAAAACTTGCATATACCGCCTGCTCTTGACCATGTTAAAAATATGTTTACACACAGACAGCACCGGAAGCAGGAGTGAGGAAATCATCGCAGTGATGTTCGTAGGAGGAATCATAGTAGATTTCCCTTCTCCTTTCTGTCTCTCTCTGTGTAACTTGGGTCCACAAATGCCATCCTCGAGAATACTTCTCCCAGGTGCCATGGCTGCTGCCAGAGGCACCTCCGGAGTTCCTGGCCAAGCTCCCTGGGTTTCTGCTTTGACACCTAAACCTGAGGGTGACTGTGGGATTCAGTGTGGGAGCACAGGATGGAGGCTCAAAGGAAAAGCCTGGGCATCTTCACAAGTCCTCGGGTTTACTCTGAGATTCAGGAGCAAGTCACTGTTGCCCTAACTCTACTCAGTAATGCTGTAGAGTGGAACACAGGATGCCCCTGCCCTGGGTCCTCAGCACAGACACAGCTGAAGGCAGAGCCTTGCAGGCAACCCCTGGGTGGGACCCTTGGTGCCCTGCACTGATGTGCTGCAAGGAGGTGGTGAGGAAGCCAGCTCCCCTCCCATCCCCTTGTGACTGGCCCACAGGGGGTTGCACAGGGAAATTAACATGAATGGAAATCGTCAAGTCCTCAGAAGTGACTCCAGGAGGGAGCTCAAGCCCTCCGTCCCAGTGAGTCCCTGTTATGGGGCCATGATTCCCCTTCCTCTTGACAACCTCTCCAAGGTGCACACCAAGTCCTCCTGCAGATGGGCTTGTGCAAAACCAGCTGAGGCTTGCTAGACACACTCAGGCACAGTGTCTCGATCAAAGGTGATCCCACTGGACAAAGCCTGGCTCCAACTCCACTCCGCACCCCATCACCTGACAACGTGCATGTTGACGGGGTATGCTTTTATCACCAGGAAAGAAAAACACATTTACAAGCATCCACAGCTGCTAACAAATTGAAAGAAAGATACTCTGACATCTTGAGCCTCCTGCTGGAAGAATGCGTGATCACTTACGAAATAATCATATGAGAAAGTTGAACCAGAATCTGAAGAAGCCTCTAGAACAAACTACTAAAGAATTAAAAATAGAGGACAGAAGAACACAAGAACCAACATCACAGAGATGTAATTCCAAGAATCCTGTAATGAGCAAAAAATCAGCTTCCACACTGTGGAAGACTCAGTAAGGGAAAGAGCCTCTGTCTTTAACGAATACATCGAACATAAAAATAAACAAAATTTAAGGGAAAGCCTAAAGCCTGCAAGAGAAGATGTGAATCTGTTGCACAATCTGGACTTTATTTGGATTCCTCAAACAAACATATCAAATTAGGATATTGATGACACAGCTGGGAATTGGAACACTAACTCTTCAGGCATGTTAAAGAATCATTAATGCTGTAGATGTTATGATGATATTATGGTTATGTTTTTAAAAAATCCTTATTTTTTAGAGATTCATATGAGATATTTTCAAGTCTGGAATCACCTTCAAAATGCAGTAGGGGTTGGGGACATACACTGAAATTGGGAGAGTTGAGTGGACAGGAACCCATAGATGTTTTGTATTTTATATGTTTGAAATTTTACATTTTTTAAAAAAGAAGAGAACAGACACACTGTGCCGAATAGGGTTCTTTCCAAGTCCACTGGAACCCGAAAGCCAGAGGAAGGGAAAGAATGGCATAGCATGAGTCAGGATCAGGAAGGTGAGAAACAGCAGGGGCAGGAAGGCTCTGGTAGGAGAGCTCACTCGGGAACAGTGGAACTGAAAATAACTGCACACACATGACCGTGGCTGGGAAATCTTGCCACCACCTCCACATCAGGTGTGGGGCCGCTTCTGTCAGAGTGATGGAGCCATCCCTCACCGAGGTCTCTTTGTCCCTGCCCAGCTGGTCCGTGGGGAACTGGAGTGCCTGCAGTCGGACGTGCGGCGGGGGTGCCCAGAGCCGCCCCGTGCAGTGCACACGGCGCGTGCACTATGACTCGGAGCCAGTCCCGGCCAGCCTGTGCCCACAGCCTGCTCCCTCCAGCAGGCAGGCCTGCAACTCTCAGAGCTGCCCACCGGCATGGAGCACCGGGCCCTGGGCAGAGGTAACCTGGGCGGGGTTGGCATGGGTGGTGGCAGGGCCCCTGCATGATCTGCTGTGTTGCACGTGGCCCTTGCTGGGTGCTGATCCTGACTCTTCTGTGCAGTGCTCACACACCTGTGGGAAGGGGTGGAGGAAGCGGGCAGTGGCCTGTAAGAGCACCAACCCCTCGGCCAGAGCGCAGCTGCTGCCCGACACTGTCTGCACCTCAGAGCCCAAGCCCCGGATGCATGAAGCCTGTCTACTTCAGCGCTGCCACAAGCCCAGGAAGCTGCAGTGGCTGGTGTCCGCCTGGTCCCAGGTAGGTGCACCCTGGTCTCGGGGGAGCAAGGCTGACCAGATTTCCCCACCAGGACTGCCTCTTCTCTCCTGGTTTTCCTCTTCCCGCTCCTCTCTCTTCTCCCTTTTTATCTCTTCTCGACTTCCTTGCACTGCCAAGTTTCTGTTCTGCCAGCTTCGGACCACCCTCTCGGCTTCCATCAACTTCATGGGGTTGCTTAATTTCCTTTGGCTTCTGAATCATGTCCTGGGGGCATCTCACACAGTGGCATCCATGTCCTTATCACTGGTCCGGCGTGGAGCAGAGGACGAGAGGGTTGAGGGGGTGTGAGTGTGAGAATAGGGGTTCACTCGTCTCATTGACAGTGGGGCCCTGGAGACTCACCTAACTCCTGAGTGTGGAGCAGAGGACGAGAGGGTTGAGGGGGTGTGAGTGTGAGTGAGAATAGGGGATCATGTAACTCCTGGGCAGGTGTAGCCACATGCCAGGAAATGCGTGACTCCTGGAGAGCAGGAAGAACATGGGTTGCTTGGAAAGAAACAGTACCCATCTCCTGAGACAAGTTTCGGGGGACAGCTGTTCTGTTTGTGAAAGGAAACTCTCCTGTTAGTTTTATTGAAATCGGTCACCTGGTGCTGCAGGAGGCTGGGAAGCCCTTTCTTCTGCACCATTCAGGAGCTGTCCTGGACCCCTTCATCATGGGAATAACACTGGAATCATTAGTTTGGAATACTGATGGTTTCATGACTAGCTTTGGACCAAATGCTTCCAAAAGCGCTTCGGAAATCTTACACCCCACAGCGTGGTAACAGCACCACCAGCCAAGCATGAACCTGTCTGAACAGGGTATTGAGAGATTACCGTGACCCAGAGCTGTGCCTTTGTATTGCCACAGCAGTTGTGGGAAGAAAGCTCTTCCCTGATCCCACGCTCCTCAGGGAGGGACCCAGGTCTCATCAGGCACTGTGTTTTCCCCACCTTCCAACGATGCCTTCTTTGTTCAGATTGGTAGGAAGTGCCAAGCAAGGCATTGAATCCTGTTGAGACACTGTTTCAGTTTGTCACTAAAAAATAAGAGCACCCTTGCTTGCTTGAGTGAACTTGCCATTGGTAACAATGTACCTCAGGTCCTCTTTCACCTGGAGGGTAGGAATGAGTGTCCCATAGAACCAAATGCACTGTCATTGGAAAACACACATCCCTGGGTGCATATCCCTAGAGGCAGAGTCTACAGAAAGTAAGTGACACGGCTACATAATCTGTGGGCTGTGTCCAGGTAGAAAGTCTTTGCCCTGAAATTTAATACATGCACACACACACATCCCACACCACACACACACGCATGCCAGAGTTTCTCTCTTAGACCTAGATCAGCGAGCAACCAAGAGGAGTGTTCCAACTCCTCTCCATCTTCCATCAGGATGCACAAAAAGCACACCTGTAAGCCTAAAGATGTGAATGCGAGGTCAGGACCTGGGCAGGTGTTGCCACCTGGGCTTCTCTGCTGGGGAACCTGAGGCCATTTCAGCCAGAGGTCCATTGGAGCTGCACAACATCGTCCACTCTACCCCAGCAGGAGACAGCAACGCCGGGGGCCGGGACCTCTGCTCCAGAGACCCTCCGTGCCCAGTCTGTGGTGGGACAGTGTACCTTGCTCCTGTGTGTTCTCCCGGCAAGCAGGGGCTGCAGCCTCCTGCCTGGGCTGCTGGTTTGCACAGGGCACCTCTGCATAAGCCAGGGTGTCTGCAACTGGAGCAGCTCAAGCTTAGAGCCTGCCTTAGCGGGGAGCTAAGAGATTTGCTCTCCATGCACCCTTCCTTTCCTCACAGGCAGCACTCGGATTCCTAGGGAAGATTGTGAGCCCTGAGTTTCTTCTACCTGCCCCTGCTTTGGGAACCAACATCAACTGCAGTTGGGTGGGTCAATCCATAGAGCCGTGGTAGTTACCACATGTACTTATGTATTAAGTTTCAGTATGTTCCAATAGCAATGACAGCCCAACATTTTAATTTTCCAGTGAAATGGGATGATGCCCTCAAGGTCCTCTTATTTTTAATCATGGATTCTATAATGTCTCTTAAAAATGCTAAGGTCCAACAATTTTCACTGAATGTTCACACTTATACAAATGTTCAAGCAGATATCTTTGATATTTTAACCCACAGATTTTGCAAAAAAAAGAGATTTTTTTTTCACTGACATCTTTTGTTCTCCTATTTTTAGTGCTCTGTGACATGTGAAAGAGGAACACAGAAAAGATTCTTAAAATGTGCTGAAAAGTATGTTTCCGGAAAGTATCGAGAGCTGGCCTCAAAGAAGTGCTCGCATTTGCAGAAGCCCAGCCTGGAGCTGGAACGTACCTGTGCCCCACTTCCGTGCCCCAAGCACCCCCCGTTTGCTGCTGCAGGACCCTCGAGGGGCAGCTGGTTTGCCTCACCGTGGTCTCAGGTAGGGGAGGCGCTCGGTTCCTGGAGAGTGGGCGAGCACAGCTCGGGCCTGGGGTTGGCCCGTGGCTCCCGGGGATGCTTCTGCGATGGTGTTTTCCCAAAGCTGGCCAAGCCACTGCATGAGGCTTTCTTTCCAGAGCGTGTGCGGGTGGCCTGGTTCCTGCGTGTGGGTGTGGCTTTCTGAGGATGGTCTCCAAGTGTTGCTGAATCTTTTAGGGCACATGCGTTTTCCTCTAAATGTCACCCAATTAAGTATAAGGAAATGCAATGCTTTGGGTAAAATCTGGGCTGAATTCCCCAGAGATGAGCGTGAACACGAAAGAAATGTGGGCCCTGGAGTAAATAGGTGGTTGTAAGTTTACGGTTCTTTTCAGCCCACCCTCAGCCCTCGCTGTTTCCTGCTCGGGTCCCTGGCAGCCTCACACCCACAATGGAGCGGGCGTTCCTTCCTTGGGATCTTCGTTTCTGTGTTCATCCTCGTCGGAGTCTGTGCCTGCGCCTCGCTCCGCCCCCTCAATGCTGCTAGTGGTTCTGCTTTTGGGTCATGGTAGGCCCAGACCCCTTAGGAGTTCCGAAGGCTGATACTCAGTTCTCTGCAGCTCACCGCAACCGTGTGCACTGGTTTGTGACTGCCCAGCAGAGTGACACTTTATCTGGCCTTCTTTTCCCATCTCTTGTCTGGGAGAGTGAGCCTCTTTCCAATTTACACAGAGGTTCTCTGCCTGCTGCAGAGGCCCTGGCTCTGGTTCTCTCGTTTTGGAGGATGGAGGTGGAGGGAAGCAGGCGGAAGGGAACAGGAGTGACTGTGTGTGGCAGCAGCCCCCTACATGCGCTCTCTCACTGTCTTGCCCATCTCCATGAGGGTCCCTAACTGGGCCCTCAGGGAATGAGGAATTCCCACAGTGGAATGAAGAGGAATAAGCACAGGGACAACAGCTAGCCCCCACCGAGAGCCCCGTGTGCTGGCGCTGCTCTGAGCCAATTCCTTTCTCTCTCCTATTAGCCCTCTAAGGGGGTGACATTATCATC